GTCCGTACTGATCCCTCCTCCTGATGTTGTAGTCGCACCGATGCCTTGGACCTGGACGTGCCTAGCATCGCATCGAACGCCACGGGTGAGCGATCATTGCCAGACGTGATGTGCCCAAAGTTTGTGCGCGAGCAGCTGAGTAGGAGGTCAGCGATGATCTTCATGCGAACGAATTGATGGGCGGTGGGTGGCGTTGACGGCGACTTTGGACCATAGTCACGTTACGATATACGTCCACGAGGAAGCGACAGCGTCAACTATGTCGCCTACCGAAGCGACGTGGGGTGCAAACGACCAACCACTGTTATGGATGTCAGACATTTCACAAAAGCGAATCGCCAAGCAGGCGAGGTGTCAGATGTCGCGAGGAGGCGAAGCGACAGGCAGTCCGACACACCGCGAAAAGGTACAGATGAAATACGATTGATTGAACTACTGAAGAACAACACTCAAAGGCATGCTGTCTTGGTGATGCGCTCAAAGGTGCGATGCTGATGAAGAACGTCCGTATTCCCAAGTTGAAAAGGCAGAAGCAGAAATGACCATTCGCGATCAAACGTTTACTGCTTGAGCTTTTGCTCGTGGAGCTCAGCCTTGCCCTCGTGCTTGTTCTGGTCGATCTTGTCACCAACGTAGTCCTTGGCAGCCTCTGCGCGGTTGCCGAGAGAAGCGTTGGAGTCCTTTGCGACACCTGAGGCGAGTGGCGTTGAGGAAGGAACATTTAGCATACGTGCGGGGTGAGTGAAGGTGAGGAGATGAGATGCTCACCCTTGTTAGCCTCGGCGGAAGCCTCGTGGCCCTTGCCCTGGATGGTCTCAGAGACGTTGTTGACGGCGTCCTTAACTGAAAGCGTGAGCAGTAAGGTGGGCAAAGGAGTAAGTACGCATCATGAAAGGCGACAGAGACTTTGGGGCCACCAGTGGATGATGCTCACCAGTCTGCATTTTGACAAAGGTTTGAAAGGTTGGTGTGGGTGATGTTGTTTGATGAGTTGCACGAAGATGTGTGGTGATGGGTGGTATAGAGCGAGATGAAGGAGGCAAAGACGTCTACTTATACCTTTCGAGGTCTGACCTGATCAGCTTTGGACTCAGACTTGCCGAGCCGCTTTTTGAAGCTGCCACACAGCTCATTTGCCCACACACGACACGGATTCTGAGCTGATGAGCCGGTTCCGCTGTGGCTTGGCTCATGCCACGTCGACGAACAGCCAACGGGGAACCAGAACAGGCAATTCACGCCTTGCGACTCAGACTCGTCAGACTCAGCACGACTTTGACAGACGATCAGCTGTGCTTGCGGTCTAACTGTGGCTGTGACTGGACGCAAGACTCACACTGACCTCATTTGCGATGCTCGATCACTTTGAGCTTGGCTGTGCGTCCGTGCGTTGCGTGTGGGTACCTACCGTACTTCTCTGCATGCTGCTCAACGGCGCTCGCTCTACAGCTGCAACATGCAGGGACCTCGCTCGACCACCTCACGCAGCCGTCGTGATGGCGGTCCATGCAGACCATGCGTCACGCGTGAGAGCACAAAGATGCGAGACCCTGACGTCATGCTTCTCGATCCGCCCTCATCGCTCATCGCTGCGCAGCATGCACGACTGCATCACACGCACGCTGATGGGCCGGGAGCTGCATGCATGCATGCAGGTGGAGCGCTTAGCGAACGCCACAGCCGCAGGGGTCCGCGCCCGGGCCCCACGTCATGACCGTCACTTAATTGCATGGCCCACCCACCATGCACCTGTCGCCCATGTCACACAGAACACCGATGATCATCGATTCTGGGCCCGCGTCCCCCCAAGAGGCGCGCACCTAAGCTTCCCCAAGAGACTTACGACTTGGCTGAGTCACTTCAACGCATATATGCAACCTTCCAGAAAGCTCCATATACGTCTACATTGGCAAAGAGAAGCAAATTCGACCGGCCAGCTCGCAAAGCCAGACATACGCACATGCGCACGCACGCACGCACGCATGTACCCCGCTTTTGCAAGTGCCTTGACGTCGTGGTACACGTCAAGCAGGCTGGACTCCAGACTCACAGCTCGACTCTACGTACGGGTATGCCTGCTCGTCATCGTCATTCGTGATTCGATGTGGGCCGGTCTGAGTGCATCCCCCCGTCGTCCCCTCTTACCCTCCTTGGCAAGTCGAGATCGTCGAGTCTGAGTCTGAGTGTGCGTCTCGCTTTGATCGATGCATGGATGTTGGTTGATCCGCACGTCTGTTGTCAATTTTGAATCGAAACAAGCAGCCACGTAGCTATCATTCTGAATCTTGATCGAGTAAGCAGCAGCAATTTGCAGGGTTCGAGTGAGGGGCAATCAAATCTTTGAATAGGCCAAAAATATCCCGGCTGCTGCCCAGTTCCACGTACGTACACGGCAATCCACCGATGGCCTAGACCAAATTGAGGCGTGACGCAGAGTCAGACCCGATGCTCCATTCACCACAGAAGAAA